TTTAGCTGTTTGTTGGTTTGTTTAGAGACAGGGTCTCACCCTGTCACCTAGGCTGGTGTGCAGTGACAATTAACTCCTGGGCTCAAATGATCCTCCCTTGTCAGCCTCCTGAGTAGTTGGGACTACAGGCATGCATGCCTGGCTCATTCTTAAATGTAATTTTTAAAATTACATTTTTATACACACACACACACACACACACACACACACACACACACACACACACATTTAAAGGCAAAGAATAATGGGATGTACATTTTAGAAATTTTGGAATATATGTAAAATTATAGAAAATGAAAACATCTATTATTCTTGCCATTCTGCGTGTACTTTTTTCTAGTACTTTTTAACATTTTTTTGTTTTGTTTTGTTTTTGTTTTTGAGACAGAGTCTCACTCTGTCGCCCAGGCTGGAGTGCAGTGGCATGCCATCTCGGCTCACTGCAACTTCCACCTCCCCAGGGTTCAAGTAATTCTCCTGCCTCAGCCTCCTGAGTAGCTGGGATTACAGGCACCTGCCACTGTGCCCGCTAATTTTTGTGTGTTTAGTAGAGACGGGGTTTCACCATCTTGGCCAGGCTGGTCTTGGACTCCCTACCTCATGATCCACCCGCCTTGACCTCCCAAAAGTGCTGGTATTATAGGTGTGAGTCACTGCGCCCGGCCTTTCACATGTTTTTTTTAAATTTTTTTTTTCTGAATTTGGATAGTATTTACAGTTTTATAACTTATCTTTTCAGTTAAAATTATACTGATTGAACTTTCACATATTATTAAGTATTCTTTGAAAATAAATGCTTTTTTGAAAATCTGTCTGAAGTTTATTTCAGGATGGACCTAATTGCTCCCGATTTATCTCCAAGCCAGCGATTAAACAATCTGGTCTTCCTAGGTTGGTTCGTGGTGGCTGCGTTAGCTTTCTAGCACATTGCATCTTTAATAGGCTCTTCTTTCTCTTTTTTTCCTGAGTCCTGGAGGCTTCCTGGGTTGAGACCCAGCCTAGCTTTGCAGAAGCACCTTTCCATCTTGTTAATGTTTAACCCTGCCCCTGCCGGAAAACAGCTCTCACCTCATCTCTCGCTCTTATTTTTTGCCTTTGCTGATGATTTTTTATCATCCTGAGCACAACGGGCCTTGGCCTCCAGACCCAATAAATCTTCCCTCGCACGGAGAAGAGTACTAATTTCTGAGGACCTGGAGGGCCTGTAGCTCCTGGGGGATTTGCGAGAAGAGGTAAGGAACGCACAGAGGCATGGGCTAGCAAAGGGGTACATTCTTGAGTCAAAACTGGTGTGGCCAACGTGCTGGCAAAGAATCTCGGGATCTCAGTATCTGGCTACAGCTTTGCTGTTTTCTTTTTGCATATATATTTTTGGTTCTCTTTAACTGCTGATTCAGTTTGGTTTTGGTTGGGGGGGAGGTATAAATAAATGGCTTGTCCATTTCTATAAACTATAAGGTTGAAGTTACTCTGTATTTCAGTCAACCATTTTGAGTACCTACTACATGCCAAGAATGTAACTGGTACTAAGTATGCCGTGATGAGTGGGTCAGGACAGCATTTCCTTACTTTGAGCATTCATTTCTGCCAGTTCAGTGTTGGCCGGCTCTTTGTAGGTGATAATGCAGGTTGTTGTGTTCTTCTTCTAGAAGCGTCATGGTGACTGTAAAGATTCTCTGATACAATTGCATCAGCTCAATAACCTTTTATTGAGTGGTCACTCTGGTCCAGGCACTGTGCTGGGTACCAGGGTTTCAGAAATGGTGTCGGGAGGAGTTTTCCTTTAGCAGCAGTCAGGCATGAAAAGCAAGCACTACAAAGCACTGGTTGGCAGCAATGGAGGGCAGGGATAGTGTGGAAGGGGAGATGGCCTCCACTCACCTTCAGAAGCAGAAAGGTGATGCTGTCAGAACTGATAAGCACATGGACAAGGAGAGAAAATGCAGCAGTACAGACACCTGGAGGCTTAAGAACACAGTCTGGTGTGAGCGGAAAATTCAGAGCTTGGTATGTATTTCTAAAACATTTGTAGGGAAAAGCTTGCTATTCTTTTCCCTCGGTTGCGCCATTTAGAGAAAGCTTCTTTGGCCTCTGCCTTCTTCAAACAACTTGAGAGATGAGAAAGGGTCTTGTAGCTCTAAGTGCCTGTGTCCAGAAACTCTAGCCACCTGGTGGACTTGGAGCCTTCACAAGGGCGGTGTCAAGGGACCACATGAGCCCTGATGTGAGATTTCAGATTAGTGCCCTGAGGCCGTGACAGGGTGCAGGCTGTGAAGGCCGAGGCCATCTGATGGTTGCAGGATTGTTGTTGGACCCAGCTGTTTGGAGGAACTCTTCCTTTCTGGGAAACCACACCTTGGAAAGTAGGTACTGGGCTGCTGCTCCTTGAGCCTCCACTCCTGAGGCAGTGAATCAGGCCCTTCCTGCCATCTCCTTTCATTCAGATATATCAAAGCAAAGTTCCAAGTTCACTATTTCCAAATCACTTAAGCAACTTTGAAAATTATTTGTATTTTCAAACCTCAGCATATTCAGCTATAAATGGAGCTCATAAAATCTGCTGTGCTTATCTCACAGGAGTATAGCGTGTCTGTAAAAACTTATTAATACGAAAAGTCCCAGTGAGTTGTAACACGGCGCACAGCTGGGTTGGCAGGTGCAGGACTGATGGCGAACGTGGCTTGTCTGCGACTGTCTGACAGATCAAGTTGCCTCTCTAGTGACCTTGAGTCCCACTTGGTCACACTGACATCTCACTGCGCTTTATCACAGATGCATGTCCTTGGGTGGAAAGAGGATGAACTTTTAGAGTTAGACAGACCTGGGCTGGCATTCTGGTTCTGGAACTGACTTGCTATTGACACTGGAGAAAGCCTATAATCTTGCCAAGCCTCAATTTTTAATTTCCTAAAATAGGGCTGTCAATATCTCTATCATAGTGTTGTTGTAAAGGTTCAATAAGATATTTCAAGGAAAGTGACTACCATGTAGTAGGCCCTCCCTAATTTCGACCTTCCTTCTTCTCTTTAATTCCTCTTCAGCTGTCATAATGGTCACGTGATTAGCTGTGTTAGGTGTCTGCAGAAATTGAATTCCTTAGTTTCTGGTAATACAACAAGCTTTCCACCCTTGACTTCATGATCTTATATCTGAATTCTTCTTCCTCTGTGTACATTTAATCATTTACACAACTTCAGCAGCCCAAGGTAGAAGCCCATCGTTCCCAGAGCCACTGGTTCCTGAGGTCTGGGCTGGTGGAAGCGCTGCTTTGTTTGGTACTGCCAATGGATTCCAGGAATGAGCTGGATGTCAGTTCATGAAGGAGTTCCCAGGGAAGACCCTGGAGCTCAAGTCTGCTGAGTCGTGGCTGTGGCTTCATGCTGTCGTCTTTGCTGTCCTCCATCACCTCCACAAGGTCCCCATGCTGAGCAGCTGCTTTCCTCTCTCTGTTCAGAATGCCGCCTGTGCCTTTTTGCTTACCTAGTTCAAATCCAATTAATGACATCCCCTTGTTTGGTCCTCCTAGCACTGTAAATCACACAAGGCAGAGATAATTATTCTAAAAAACTCAGGGGCAGAAATATTAGCTGACCTGCCCAAGATCACCAAGAATGGGGGTGAGAAGCCAGGTTTCATGATACCCTATCCAGCAATCCCACTACCTTATACTGATATCCTTAGGAGCAGGATCCATGGGAAGGGACCTCAGTCCCTGGTGGGTTACCAAAACCCCTGAGGTGACTGCTTTGATATGTTATTATAAATAAACCCTGTGACTGGGGAAAGAATGTAATGTTTTCCAAAAGATACAGACATTGTTTGAGTTCAAAGTGCTTCCAGTTTCCATTCAGTTACACAATAAATTCTGAGAAAACAAAGTAGGTGTTTACCCAGAAATAAAGAGGCCTATGCAGTCTCTATTTGCTCAATGAAATCCGTTGTCCAGAACTTTTTGCAGTTCTGTACATGTTGTAGGGGAAAGGACATGGGTTGTGGAGTCAAGTACGTTTGGATTTGAATCTCAGGGCAACCATTTCCTCGGCTCTGTGATCTTGGGCACTTACCTCTGAGAGCCTCAGGTTGCTAATCCATGAAATGCAGATTATAACACCTTTGAAATGAACCCTGCAAGGGTTAGGAGATGCCCTTCATATTAGACTATGATATACGTGGTGCCCCTGGAGTTGCGTCTCATGGTGGCCCTGGTTATGCTGAAGTTAAGTGAAATAACATCTAGCATCCTTAATGAATCTTTGTATTCATTTCCTTAGTTGGCTACATGTCTGCTCTCCTACCTGTATTTCCTAACCTCTATTGCGAGGTGAGTCAGCTTCCTGTCTCAGTGGCGCTCTTCTTGCAGGGCAGTGCATGGAACTGAATATTTTGTGGTGGAGCTAAGCCTTGATATTCTCACGCAGGAGTCCAACATCACAGCCCTTAGGGAGATGCATCAGAAATCTATGGCATCGTCTATAACGAGAAGTCTTTTTTCTGGCTATATTGAAAGGGTGTTGGGCCACTTAATATTTTAGAAAGTTTAGGTTTGGTAATGTAAAACAGTCAGCCTGCTCTTTTTTTCCCCAAACGTGCACGGTTTCCTTTAACATATAAGGACCTAGGAACTGAATGATTTGCAAGGTGTGGTTTGCAAGGTGTAGTTTCTGACTTCAAGAAACTCAGAGTGCAGTCAGGGAGGTAGACCAAGGCAACCAGAAACGAAGATTCAGTATAGAAAAAGTAACGGTGTGGGGACATATAAAGTGTTCATGGCTGAAGAGGAAGAAGGGAGTGTCTGAGGGACTGCTGTCTGCATTCAAACTCCAAACTGAGGCCGACTTTTGTCGAGAGTTGCCAAACAGCTTGCATAGGTGGATAGGAGGTAGATCAGGGCTGGAATTCACCTGACTTGAAATCGATTGCTCAGCCCATCGCTCCACCTCATGCCACGTTGGGTTTTTCTTTACATCATTTTGTTTTTTCCCTTGTTTCACTTTTTTTAGGCTTGTTTTCCTGCTTGGAACAAAGTGGCTTCCCTGAACACATCTTCATTATGATTCACACCAACTTGAAGAAAAAGTTCAGCTGCTGTGTCCTGGTCTTTCTTCTGTTTGCTATCATCTGTGTGTGGAAGGAAAAGAAGAAAGGGAGTTACTATGATTCCCTTAAATTGCAAACCAAGGAAATCCAGGTGCTGAAGAGTCTGGGGAAATTGGCCATGAGGTCTGATTCCCAGTCTGTATCCTCAAGCAGCACCCAGGACCCCCACAGGGGCAGTCAGACCCTTGGCAGTTTCAGAGGCCCAGCCAAGGCCAAACCAGAGGCCTCCTTCCAGGTGTGGAACAAGGACAGCTCTTCCAAAAACCTTATCCCTAGGCTGCAAAAGATCTGGAGGAATTACCTAAACATGAACAAGTACAGAGTGTCCTACAAGGGGCCAGGACCTGGCATCAAGTTCAGTGCAGAGGCCCTGCTCTGCCACCTCCGGGACCACGTGAACGTATCCATGGTAGAGGCCACAGATTTTCCCTTCAATACCTCTGAATGGGAGGGTTACCTGCCCAAGGAGAGCATTAGGACCAAGGCTGGGCCTTGGGGCAGGTGTGCTGTTGTCTCATCAGCAGGATCTCTGAAGTCCTCCCAACTAGGCAGAGAAATAGGTATGTTCTAGGGTGTTAAGGTTGTTCTGTGAATGGCAGTACTGATTGGGACTGGCTGGGCATATTGATGGTATTAGAGACAAGTGGCCCAAGTCTGGCTCAGTGGACCAGTGAAGTGGGCCCAGGGCAGTGTCTCTTTCAGAGTCACAGTGACACAGTGGGAGTTGAACAGATGATGCTCTATGCCCTGGCATCTTTATCAATTAGAAGAGCTTCATTATTGTTTCCTGCTATTTTTAGTTGATATATATAATTATATATATTTATAGGGATACTTTGATACATGTATTCAATGTATAATGATCCAATCAGGGTAATTAGAATATGTATCACCTCAAACACTTATTGTTTCTTTGTGTTGGGAACAGAATAGTTTTATTTTGATCTGTTTTAAATTTTGGTATTCTGCAGAAGATTTCATTTGAATAGAGAGTTCTGCCACTACCAATAATCAAAATCCTACAATTGACCTTTGAAAAGTTCTGAAGCATAGACCCCTACATATTTCCAGGTTCTGAAATTCTGTTGTTTTACCTGATTAATGCAGGACTGTTTTGGCCTCAGCTACCTGGGTAATTTTCAGCTTTTCTCTTTGAAAAGATTTAATTCTGTCAGTAATTCTTAACTGAGGGCTATGGACCAACTTCAGAGGGTCATGAATCCCTGCAATTGCATGCAAAATATCTGTGGATTTGGTGTGCTTAATGTGTGTGTATGTGTATAAGTGTGTCAGTGCATTTTTCCACGAAGGGAGTTCGTAGATTGAAGTTTATTCTCCAAGGGATCTGTGACCCAGTTTCAGAATCACTGGTCACAATATATTAATTTGCTTTTCTTGAAAACCTTTGTAGTGAATCGAGATAGAAACCCTCTCCATATTTGTAAATCTGTGTAACAGGGAGCCTTATTTCTCTTATGCTGAATGTGTTTTCCATTATTTTGAAATGAATCAGCTAAAGAAAGCAAAGCACAGGAAGCTTTGCTCCTCCGTCAGGCTGGAGGTACTGGAGCAGGTGAGGTCATACGTCTCCGTTTTTATTTCCTTCAGTTGACTGCCAGGAAAAACGGTCTAAAACCAAGCACAGGGCTGTCAAAGAAGAAAAGTAGGCCCAAATTGGATTCTCTAGAGCAGAAAGAAATGGTGAGATCACAGTTTCTACCTCCCCAAACAGGCAGTACTAACTCATAAAAGCCGCCCCGCTGGCCAGCCCCACCCCAAGTTTTGCTTCTGCCTTTTTGGTTTTTCTTGAACTTTGTTGTCAAGAAACTAAATGTGATTGGTTTTTGTTCATCCATAATGGAACTAAATTTCCTTCTTTCTTCTCCATTTTTGCTGCATAAAGGTAATGTTTGGGGTATCTTAGGTATTAGCCGATCCTTCTTCTGCATGTCAAGTTAACATTACCTGCCTGGTTGAAATTGTACTGAAGTTTGAGACAGGGCCTGATACCTCTGTGAATTGGAACTGCAGCTTTAATTTTATGCACTCCTTAAAGGTTTGGAGTAATTTAAGTAAACATTAATAAAAATACTATTTTTCTATAGACCGCAGTTTCAACTTCAAAATAAGGATTTCCACGGAAGGACTTTGATCCCGAGATGCTATAAAAATTGCATGTTAGACTTCAAATATTCTGCTGTTATAGGGTATATATCCTCTTGGCATTTTGTCTAACAAATGTTTTAAGACATTCATTCATGTATTCTTTTATTTATTCATGGATTCATCAACAATACAAAATAAGAGCTTAGAACACTAACGGGAAGGAAGGGGAAGGGAAAGGCCCTTTGTTGAAGCCTCTTTGAGTTGCAGGCAGCATGGCAGGCCCTTACACTTCCTACTGCATGCGGGATTTATTGAGTCTATTCCCAACTGTTGAATGGATCAGATTATTTCAAATGATTTGCTTTTACAAATAACATTGCTAACAAGGGTTTTCTGCAGATACCTTAGGTGACCACTATTGACATTCAACAGGGAAATATCCCCAGAAGTGAGGCTAGAAGACACGAGTAAGAGACATTTTATGACTTTTTTTTGTCCATAGCAAGATTTTTTATCAGAGCGAGTGTAATAACATACTCTGCCTTTAGCAGTCTCACAAACCAGCCAGTGGTGGGCTCAGTCATTTTCAATGATTCTGATAGTTTACTCATACATGTTAAGTAGCTTAGATTTGCTGGAATTTTCATGTCAAACAGTAGCATAATTGTAAAACACTGTCATCCATAGAAGTGATGCTTATCACACATCTGCTGTGCTCCTAACATGTTTTGCTCTTTTAATCTTCCCAGAAATCCTGGGAGGTTGGTAAGATATTGGTCTCATTTTGCTGGAGAGCTAAATGTGGAGGCTCCAGTGGTTATGCAACTGGCTAATAGCAGACTGGGGTTTGAAAGCAGAGGGCTTGCTTCAAAGACCCCGCTCTTCGTCCCTCTGCTGTCGTGCCTCATAATAACTGTAGCTTCATAATAAAATTTGGTGTGATTATTCATTTGTTATGCTAAAATGTTTCTTATATTCTTATCTATTAGCTTTCCTAAAGAAAGAGAAGGGTCTTCTGAGTTAAGGCAAAGGCAAGAAGCAAGGAGAATTGCTTTGTTCATTCAACAAATACTGATTGAACCCTTCTCATACCTGGCTATCCTTTGGGTCTCAGCTGTGTCTTTCTCTTGACTGAAGTTCTCAGATTCTGCCAGGAGGCCCTCCCAGCTTTGGTTCTGCTCTCTTCCTTTTTCTTTCAGGACTATGAGATCCAAGGGAAGGAGCAGAGCAAGGTTGGAATATTGACTCCCTCAGGCTCATTCTTGCTGGCTGGAGGTTGGCAATAGCTGTGTTCCTCTCCTAAAGGCAACAGCTCCCGACAGGCATCCCTCCTCAGCTCAGGGTCTCTGCTCATCATCCCGCAGTAGACCTGGGGTAGTCCTGACTCGCTGTGGTCATCATCCCTGGGGGCTTTAGCCTATTCCATGTTGATTTCTTTAGACTGTACCTCAAGTTGGTAAATAGTCCTTTTATGAATCTCTCAGTTACTCCATTTGAGCTTCTCATCTATTTTCTACTGGGATTCTCACCAGTAATTTATTCATCTGTGAAATGGGAAAGCTAAGTGAAGTTTCTGATGGACCTGTGTTTCTCATACAATTACCATTAATTCCTGTCAAACCAGTGACTGATTCTGACAAAATGTCTTGCAATTCTGAGTTGTGTAAAGATATATCTCCTGCCCCAAGTGCACTTCAGTGTACCTGCCCTTTGAGATGATAACAGTTTGGACTATGTACTTTTCAGGTAATTTTCAAACCATTTTGATGAAATTTTGCCCTATGAGTGAGGATAGGGTGGTAGTGTTTTCATGAATGAGATTTCTGCATTCCTGAGGTTTAGTACATACATTGGAACTGAAATAGAGAGGATTTCATCCTTAATTCTGTGGACATCCTCTTTCTTTTCTTTCTTTCTTTTTCTTTTTCTTTTTTTTCCCTGAGATGGAATTTTGCTCTGTTGCCCAGGCTAGAGTGCAGTGGTGCAATCTTGGCTTACTGCAACCTCCACCTCCTGGGTTCAAGCAATTCTTCTGCCTCAGGCTCCTGAGTAGCTGGGACTACAGGTGCACGCCACCATGCCTGGCTAAGTTTTGTATTTTTAGTAGAGATGAGGTTTCACCGTGTTGGCCAGGCTGGTCTTGAACTCCTGACCTTGTGATTCACCGGCTTCGGCATCACAAAATGCTGGGATTACAGGCGATGAGCCACCGTGCCCGGCCTGCAACAGCCTCTTTCTAAATCATCTTATACTGAGCCAAATGCCCTCACTTCCCCAAATCCTATCTATATGGATAAAGAATGACCCAAAACAACCCAAACAGAACAACAGAGGATTCAGATGACCCCCAGATCCAGTACAGATTTCAGTGATGAGCCCCACACTTGCTTGGCCAGGTAAGATTGAAAGAAGCTGTCATAGGATCATAGGGTTGGGATGGCTTCTTAAAGTCTTCAGTTCTCTCCTCCACCAATTTGGCCAATGTCGGATAGAGAAACTTTTCCAAGTCTTCCAAACACGGCTTAGACAGTTGCAAAGACAAGGAGCCAGAGCCCAGGAAGCTTTTAGTGTTTTCAAGGTGGTCTGTTTGATTTCGACTGGATTTAGAACATTGTTTCTGACTATGGCAGAAAGAAAGAAAGAGAGAGAGAGGAAAAAAAAAAAAAGAAAGAAATTCAGTTTAGCTCTGTGACCTCCTCTTCCATTTCTGCCACACTAGGTCTTGTGACTCTTCCCTGGACCTAAATGGAACACCTGGGGGTTGTCTTGGATGCCATAGTTAAATACTGCCCATTTGCTGAGCACTGCATGCTTTTCAGAGTGCAATGGGGTCCTTTGCACTTGTGGGAAACACTGAACATATGGTAATATTTTCACTTTTCTGACAGAGATAGAAATAAAATCTACTGATGATACCAAGAGAATATTTGGTTTGTTGCTTTGATAACTGGAGTAGCTATTCCACATAAATAGCACACTGGCTTTGTTCACGTTTCTGCTGTGCCAAGGTACAAATGAGTGTCTTCAAATGGGTTTTAGGAATGCCACAGTATGGATCCCTTCAGCCTTTATGGTGGCTGGCAGGCAGGTGGTCATCTCTGCTTAGGAGCTTTACCTGAGCACCACATAAATACTGCCATTTCTCCCTGTGGATCATGATGGGGTAAAGATTGGGAAGCATTATTCCCATGCTCCCTCCCCCACCTCCTGCCTTTTTCTTTTTCTACATATTGCCAGTGCTCATCACCTCTTTTCTGTTTCTTTATGGTTTATAGATGATCATGATGCAGTCCTGAGGTTTAATGGGGCACCCACAGCCAACTTCCAACAAGATGTGGGCACAAAAACTACCATTCGTCTGATGAACTCACAGGTAAAATTTCTTCTGTGCAGATATGGTGTAAGAGAAGGACCACAGTGTGAGCTCTAATGTAAAATGTATCTACTAGGAGCACATCTAAGCAGCCAATTAAGTCTCTTGATCTTCCTGAGTTCCTGATTCCTCACTGGAGAAGGAGAAGGCAGTGATTCCATGACCCAACCTGATGATGTATTTATTTAATTTATTATTATTATTTTTTCTGAGACAGATTCTTGCTCTGTCACCCAGGCTGGAGTGCAGTGGTGCAATTTCAGCTCACTGCAACCTCTGCCTCCCAGGTTCAAGCAATTCTACTGTCTCAGCCTCCTGAGTAGCTAGGGTTACAGGCGTGTGCCACCATTCTCAGCTAATTTTTGTATTTTTAGTAGATGGGGTTTCACCATGTTGGCCAGGCTGGTCTCAAACTCCTGACCTCATGATCCACCTGCCTCAGTCTCCCAAAGTGCTGGGATTACAGGTGTGAGCCACCGCGCCCTGCTGTTTTATATATATATATATATATATATATATATATATATATATATATATATATATATTTAAAAAACTCTTTGATATCAGTCTTTGCTGATGAAGGTATCTGGTGCTCAGGAATATAGAGTTCAGCTGTTCCTGCTGCTGCAAGGTCCTATGTGGAGGCTTGTATGAGGGACAGCAGAGCCCAGAACATCTCGGGGAGAGTGGGAAGTGTTGTAAAAAGTGAATGAAGCAATGCACATGAGAGAACTTTATGAACTGTCAAATGCTATACAACTACTATAAGACATTGTCATCATATGATTATGTGCAATATGACACTAGATTTCATGTATTATTTCATAAATTCCCCTGGATGAATAGGTTCCTGAATTATTTTCAGGCAGCACATGCTGATTTCTCAATACTAATGGCAACTTGAGAAATAGTCTTTCCACAGGATTCTGTTAACAGATTGTATTAGTGGGAAAAACTGTATTATACATATATCAAAAATTGCGCAATAGGGCTGCAACCTACTCATCTCACAACCACCAACGTTTGCCTTTTTCTGAATAAACATATGTGCTCTGGGTGTTTTTACAATAGTGTTTAGGCTGCACACTTCCCTAGGAGTTGTGGGCATGGGGTGGATCCTGGAACAGATCAGAAATACCTTCTCAGCAGTGTCCAGTGGAATGTGTGTTTCTTTCCTTCTCTAGGAGGGCTCCACTTCCCTGTTTCTGCCTCTTCACTTCCTTACTTTCAGGAACTCGCCAGCTAGGCAGAAGCTGCTTCCTGCATAGCCCACTGTCCATTTGAAGCCCACAACCTTAAGAATATTTTTATAATGGGATAGAAATTGAGGAACTTAACTTCTTTGTAAGTGGTCGCCATCTTGTTTTTTTGTTCTCCCTCTAATACCTTTTAATTTTATTTTTTATTTTTTTAAGATGGGGTTTCACCATGATGGCCAGGCTGGTCTTGAACTCCTGACTTCAGGTGATCCATCCACCTCGGCCTCCCAAAGTGCTAGGAAGTGAATCACTTTCTATCACTGTCATGTCACATCTTCCAGTAGCCTCTAGGTGCTTCCAATACCTGTTTGTTGTTCAAACTTATAGTTTGGGTTTTGGTATTACTTTTATTATTATTGAGATGAAGTTTTGCTCTGTTACCCAGGCTGGAGTACAGTGGTATGATCTCAGCTCACTGCAACCTCTGCCTCCTGGATTCAAGTGATCTTCCTGCCTCACCCTCCTGAGTAGCTGGGATTATAGACGTGCACTACGATACCCAGCTAATTTTTGTATTTTTAGTGGAGATGGGGTTTCACTGTGTTGGCTTGGCTGGTCTTGAACTCCTGACCTCAAGTAACCACCAGCCTCAGCTTCCTTACAGGCGTGAGCCATCATGCCTGGCCTACTTCTATTATTAGAAGAGATAGGATTGAAAGGAATGGACTGGGTAGCAAGAAGCCCTCTGGGGTAAATGACACACTTACGCTAGACTTTGAAAGATGGGCAGGACTTGGGGAAATGGCAATAGAGGGGCATTCCAGAAAGTGGAACTGGCAAGACAGAGATACATAGGAAATGAGGGAGACATTCAAATACCCCTGGCTAAGTTGGAGGTGGAGGTGTGGAAGGAGTGGCTGGCATTGCCCTTTAGAGAGATGAGGCTGGACCTTCATGTCTGCTTGTGCTCTGGCAAGTTTGGAAATTCAGACAGAGGGTTAGGACCAGCTTTGCCCTTTTCCCTTCTCATGCTTAGTCAGAAATCCTGGAGCTGGAGAGCACTTTAGGGAGCACTAAAACCTCATCTCTACTTCTAGATAAGATCTACCTAAATATCCAGGAGAGATGTTTATTTACTCTTGATTCATTCATTCATTCATTCATTCATTCATTCATCCATCCATCCATCCATTCAACAAATATGTTCAGTATTGAGTAGAGTGTGGCAGTCAGTACATAAACTCTATAGTTAGCCTGCTTGGGGTTGAAATCCAGCTGTCTCTTACTAGCCGAAGGATCATCAAGTTACTTCTCTCTAAAGAGGGGAGAATAATTCCCTTTCCTTACAGGGTTGTTGTGAGGTGTAAATTAGAAAAATCTGTGCAAAGCACTCAGAACAATAGCTGGCACATATATCAATAAACGTTAACTGCACTTACTATTGATATTTGCAGACACTGAGCTGGTAGTGGACGATACAGTTGTGAGCAAGATAGACTCAGCCCCTGTTCTTATGATGCAATCAAGTAGTTTTACAAATAAAGTTGCAACAGAGAACTAGAGAAGAGATGGTCAAGGTTCTAGGAGAGCCCCGAAAGGGGAGACCTGAGCTATTCAAGAAGGTTGGAATCCCTAAGCAGATGGTACTTGGCTGTGTAGAAGGAATGTGTAGATGTTGAAACGGGTGGGATAAGAGCTTTTCAGGAAGAGGCAAGAGCATAGACCCCAAATTCCACAATAAGAGTTTGTGTGGAAGGAAATGGGGGACTGGAAGGGCTCAGGAACAGGTGAGTATATGTGGGGCTGTGTGGTGAGAGACAAGGCTAAAAGTAAGAAGGAGTCAAGCTGTGGTCCTGCACTGAGGCATCTTCTTTACGGCAGTATTGGATTTGCATTTTGTAACCATCACTGGCTTCCGTCTGATCAGAGGGGCTTCAGTAGACGAAGAGACATAGTTAGGAGGGTCTTGCAGCAGTCTGGGCTAGATATGCTGGTAGCTTGCACAAGAGGAGGGGTGAAGGTGAATGTGAGAAAAGAATGTCTTTAAGGGCTACTTGGGATTTGCAGTCAACTGTTTTTAATGTCGCATTGGATGTGAGAAGTAAAGGGAGAGGGGCCAGAGGTACAGCTCGGTTTCTTTCTTGTGTAACTGCAGCAAGAAGTCACTGAAATTGTAAGTCAGCCCGTTATCCATGGTTTCTCTTTCTGCAGTTTCATTTACCTGTGGTCAGCTGCAGTCCAAAAATATTAAATGAAAAATTCCAGAAATAAGCAATTCAGAAGTTTTAAATGACACATTGTTCTGAGTAGTGGGATGAAAGCTTATGCATCTTACTTTGACCCTTTTTCATCACAGGAAGAAGGATGAGTACAGCAAAATAAAATATTGTGAGAGAGAAGAGAGAACACATTCACATAACTTTTATTACAGTCTATTATAATTGTTCTATTTTATTATTAGTTCCTGTTGTGAATCTCTTACTGTGCCTAATTTGTAAATTAAACTGTATCATGGGAATGTATGTATGTATAGTAAGAAACATAGTATATGTAAGGTTTGGTACTATCTGTAATTGCAAATATCCACTGGGGCCTTCGAACATATTCCCGGTGGATAAGGGCGGGGACAAGTGTACTTGAAGATGTTTTGGGTGATGAGGGCTAGGTTCGGGGGGAGGGTAGAGGTTAAAAATATAGATCTACATAAGGTCAGTGTGCATTGCCTTTTAGATATCTGTGAAGAGATGTCAAAGAGGCATTTGTACCAATGAGGCTGGAGTTTAATGAAAAGGTCTGGGCTGGAGATGAGAGTTTGTGAATTGTCTTTGTCTAGGTGGCAGTGAATCAATGGGACTGAATGAGAGCACTAGAGAGAGACAGAGTGTGGAGAGAGGAGGGAAGCCTTATCCAGGAGCTGTGGATAACAAAAACAGAGAGAAGGAGGCAGTGGTCAGTGTCATCAGTTACAACTGAGGGGTGAATTTAGGTGAAGATTGAAATGCATGATGAACTCAAAATATCTGAAACAGATCTGAACCAATTTAGAACATTTATTTTGCCATGGGTAAGGATGCAGCCTCAGGTCTGACATGTGCCCAGGGTGGGCGGGGTACAGCTTGCTTTTACACATTTTAGGGAGACATGAGGTATCAATCAGTATATGTAAGATATACATTGGTTCGGTCTGGCAAGGTGGGACAGCTTCAGGTGGGGGGTGGGCGGCTGGGGCGGCTTCCAGGCCATTGGTAGATAAGAGACAAAAGGTTGTATTCTTTTGAGTCCTTGATCAGCACAATTTCTTCTGGCTCAGTGAATCTGCATTTTTACGTAAACAATAGGGCAGAGGAAGCAATCAGATATGTATTTGTCTCAGGTCAGCAGAGAAATGATTTTTCTGTCCCACACCTGCGAAGATAAGCTATCGGTTTACATTGTCAGGGTGAAATTCCACAGAACTGTTCTGGGGTCAAGATCTTGAGGCCCACAAGGAATTTCTTTGTGGACAAATTGGTAGGAAGGTGTGTGCTTCTTTTATCTTTTTAGCTATCTTACTTAGGAATAAAATGGGAGGCACGTTTGACTTTCTGTTTTTGATTCCTAGCTTGACTTTTCCGTTGGCTTAGTGATTTGGGGGTCCTGAGATTTCTTTTGCTTGCACTGCATCTGCTCTCTTGCAAAATGCAAGGCCGCTGGTGACCTTAGCAAAACTGTTTGGGGAGAGTGATGAAACAGGTTGAAGTGTATAAGGGAGGGAGTGGGAGGAGTGAATGGGGAAGGCAAATTTGGATAGGGTTTTTAAGA